AAAATCATTTGGTTAGCCTAGTTCTCCTGCCTACAGCCCAGCTATGGAATTCTGAGACATAACTCCATTTTGGCCTCCGGTCACAACTGAGACCTCAATGATCAGGTGCTGCTGTGATTCTCCAGGACCAGAAAGATTCTGGGAGCTGAAAACATCCTGGGAGGAACAAACATCTACTCAGTTCCTTGTTCTTGGATTGTTACATCTTATTTACGCAGGATGTACTGAACTCTCTGCAAGTCATTTGTTACATCTGTTTCTCCCAGTAAGCTGGGAACTTTGGTCTTTGCCACCCAGAGCAGCACTGATGAGACCCAAATCTCAGATTCTTCTCAGTCTCATTTTTCTAGCTTTCCTGTAATTTGCCATGTACTGCCTTGGCTCGCAGGAGACTAGGACTTAACTGCAAAGGTTCTAGTAACGTCCCCTTTCCCTGTTCCTTACATTTTCTCTTTTTCTTTTTATTTCTATTTTTTATTTTGCATATTGTTGCCTTTTTTATCTTCTATTTCTCATTGATTTTTTTCTTTAATTCTGTAAACATCCTTCCACTCCATAATAGTATCATTTGTCTCACTTTTTTCCTCATCTCTCACCGTTTAAGTTTTCCAGTTTCTCTTTTCAGTTTCCTATTCCCAATCCCCTATATCTTTAACAGTACGACTACTGTTACAGTTTGAGTCTAGATGCCCTCCCAAAGCCTCATGTAGTCATAGGCTTTTCCAGAGGTAGCTTGATCTAGAGTGTGTGATGCTAGAATTGATTCATGATGCAATGCTAGGCTCAAGGACACTAGGATTAAGGGTGTGAGTGCTACCCACCCTAAGTAGTCTGGATAAGATAATAAAAGGGGCAGAAAGATGCTGTTAAGGTCCCTTGTTGCTTTTGCTTTGTTACCTTCTGTTCCTCCATGAACTGTTTCTCCTCTGCTATACCTGTCTGCCAGACCACCCAGCCTTGGAGCTAGCCAATTGTGGTCTGAAACCTCTACGAACTGTGAGCTAAATAAACCTTTCCTAATTTAACTTTGGGTGTCAGGTATTTTGTCTCAGCAACAAGAGAAATGTAACTAACACAGTCCTCTAACAACAATGGGAGGCGTATGTTGGGGAGCTCAGCCTAAGGCTGTTCAACTCAGCACAAGCTGAGCTGCACTAGTGCCTTGTAGGGAACAGCAGCTTCACTCCTTTTTCTGGCTGGAGAAATGTTTCACTGTCGAGATTACTACCTGCACAATGTTTTCAGTGTTACCCGTGCAATGAGTAACAAAAGATTAGCGGAAAAATTACATATTTTTGTTCTGCATAGATAAATCTTATCTGGTCCTCTAGTGAATAATAGTTGTCTAATTGTAATATTACCAACACTGCTGATTTTTGGTAAATGTTTTTTAGACATAACATACTTTAATACCTACCAGGCAACTACTACCCACATAAAACATATGTACAATTTTTTAAACTTTATAACTAACCAACCTATAAAGCAAGGAAAATGGTGGTAAAAACACTGAAAAGTCACAAGGCAAAACATGAATCTTATAGGGTCAATGTTGTAAGGTCACAGAAAATCACAGAGGCTGGAAGGAGGTGAGGGGCAGGGCAAGTGTGGGAAGGAAACTCTGGCTGCCTCAAATGCACAGAAAACAGCCATTTCACTCATTGATCAGAGTTATAGTAATGTGCATAAAGATTCATAACCAGAAGAAGCACCTCTTTGGATGGGAACAGTTGTATCCTCAACAGTGATTTTTTCTAAAAATTGCATTACCTTTGAGTATTTAAAAACTAGCTTAAAATTTTACCTATATAAAAGTTCATATTATAGAAAAATGAATTGGGCCAGGGATTTGGCTCAGTGGTGCCACTGCCTGTTTCACAGGTGCAAGGTTCTGAGTTCAATCCCCAGTACCAAGAAAAAAAAAAAGATTTAAAAGCCTTACCTCAGCCAGAAGTGCATTTCTTCTGTCTTGAACAAACACTATTGGTGGCACATTTCTGAGGGTCTGTTGGGACATCAAAAGGTGCCTGAGGAGAGAACAGAGACTGCATGTTTCAGACTCTACCTTGACATTTAGCAGACAGGGGCACAGTGCTCAATGCAAGGTACATGACAATCTCCCAAGGCTAGAAGTGAGACTTGCTCATCTGTTACTCAGGTGAAAATGAGATGAGCACAACAGCCTGCGCCTGCAGTCCCAGGGCTTGGGAATCTGGGGTGGGAGATCACGTGAGCCAAGGAGCTCAAGGCCCAACCAGGCTGAGGAGCAAAGTGAGACCCTATCTCAAACAAACAAACAAACAAACAAAAGAAACAAAAGAAGGAAAAAGACAAGAAAATAAAATGCTACAAACCTTCTTCAGTGAGTCACCAGTCCCAAAAGGACACAAAAAGTATCAAAACTGCAACTCCTTTTAATTCTTCCAAAGCAACTGAGATCATCATAAATAACCTCATATGAAAATAGGGTGTTGCCTGCAGCCCTGTGGGCTCCAGGGTTTGGATGCTCAGAGTTCTTTCAGCACAATTTCACACTCACATCCCCAGATACTGGGGAGAATGGATCTTTGCACTGGTCACAATCACGGTATATGAGGCCAAGCTAGATGTGGCACATACACCCACTAAAAACTACCCACAGGAATCTGGGGCTCAGCAAGAAGAAACCTCAACACCAAACCCTAGGTGACCACAAGAGCTAGGAAATGGGACATTTAGCTCAACCCAATTTTCTGATTACCTAAAAACCAGAAAACAATAGTACTATATCAAAGGTTCTTGAAAATTTCTCATTTTTGTTAAACAGTAAAAGATGAAATTGACCAATCTTTGATAGTTTTAGAGACTTTTAGGGATCATCGCAGTGAGTGTCAGTAACAATAAAGCAGGGAGCTCAAGACAGCATAGGAAAGTGCTATAGTTTTTATTTGGATGAAGTCCCACAAGCTGCTCTGACTGCCAGCACTATCTCCTCAGTGACAGTAAGTAAGGAGGCAAGAAGAGCAGAGGAGGAGAGGAAGGCAGGAAAAAGGCATCTGATCCTGAGCACTGCTTGGTCAGCTGGATTTCTGCATTTTTTTAAGACAGAGGAGAAAAGTCAGTTAAGTTCTTTACTACTGTGCAGATCAGTGATTCAAAATTTTTGGTCTCAGGATCCCTTTACATGCTAAAAAAATTACTGACAATCCCAAAAAGCTTTTGTTTAAGTGGTTATATCTAACAATATTTACTATACTAGAAATTAAAACTAAAAAAAATCTAAGTGTATTACATCATTTTAAATGATAATAAACCCACTAAATGCTGACAGGGATTTTAAATAAAAAATAGCTACATATTCAAAGAGTGTTCTGAGAACAGCTGCACATTTCCTGAGGCCTGCCTGGTGGAAGAATGATGGGAGTTCATTACTGCATTTGCATTCTTTCAGAAGGTGGGGAACGTGAAGCATTCTGCAACGCTGGTTACCCAATGGGCTGAGGCAAGAAGCCTGCAAGTTCAAGACAAATTTAGACAATTTAGGGAGACTCTGACTCAAAACACAAAAGAAAAAAGGGCTAAAGATGTAACCCAGTGGCAGACCACTTGTCTCGCGTGCATGAGCTTTGGGTTCAAGTCTCAGTATAAAAAATAAATAGCTTTCAGAAAAGTGCGGATCTTCTTTGACCACACACACACATACACACACACACACACACACACACACACACACACACACTTCAACAAATGAAAGGTCAGCTGAAATGTGGAAGCTGAGTCCACACCAACTGACACATCACACTCCGAGATAGGAAAACACACCAGTCTCTCCACACATTAATGGAACTTCTACCCATGCATGGTTTTGCACCCTTGTACGTTCCTCACTGATAAGGGGTCAACAGTAATGCAAATTTTCAGAACACTGATAGTTTATCACACATTTATTTGTGTGTCTTTTTTTTTGGTACCGGGGATTGAACTCGGGTCCTTGCGCTTGGGTAGCAGGCGGCGAAACCACTGAACTAAATCCCCAGCCCCATCACATATTTATTTGTTAATGTCAACAGAACAGTCTTCAAGTACTTGGAAGGTTTTGAACTGGATACCAGTTTCTACACTTCTGGTTTGTTTGGGGTTTTTTGGTACCAGAGATCAAACTCGGGACCTTCTACTTGGGATGCAGGCGGCCGTACCACTGAGCTAAATCCCCGGCCCTACAATTCTGGTTTTTACTTGAAAGTTTACATTTTAATACTGGCCATGGAAGTGGCACGTTCACTTGGCTCACTTTTGAGAATGTCTGCCAGATGCTCACACCTGAAGAGCTGCAAGTGCTCCCATACCTCTGTGCAGTATTCTTCCCACAGAGGCTGTCATGTCTCAGCAACCATGACCTCTACGTGCTTCCCACCACAAAGAATGCTACAAACACATATACTCAGTCTAGACTTAGTAAAATAACTGTTTTGTTTTTGTTGTTTTTTTTTGCTTGTTCATCTAGGATACTTTCAGGTGAAAGTGGCATTGTGTTTCATGATGAGCACTGGCAACAACATCACCAATAAGGTCCCAGCCTCAGCAACAATGAGAAAGATAAAACACATCTTAGTATTGCAAAAGTAGTGAGTTGTGTGGTTTCTTTTTTTCTGCAGTACTGATGACTCTCTACCACTGAATCACACCCCTATTTAAAACTGATTTATCTATTTATTTTTTCCTGTTTTTGTCTGTACTGGAAATTGAACCCAGAACCTCATGCATGCTAGCCAAGCGCTCTACCACTGAGCTACATTCCAACTCAGTTTTAAAAATTTTCAGACAGGGTCTTGCTAAGTTGCTAGGGTTGGTCTTAAATGTACAATCTTCCTGTCTTAGCCTCCTGAGTAGCTGGGTTACATGCCTAGCTGGCATAAATAGTTTTAACTTTACAAAGACCCTGATGGGATCTTTAGATCCCTACTGAACTTTGGGAAAAGCTAACTAGATTACATCTTATAGGAAAATGCAAATTATGCTTTGAAATTCAAGAAAATGTTTCCAAAAATTTCCTTAAACACAAAATCTTTAATGAGAAAAATTTAAAGTCTACCTTCAAGTGAAACAGCTGGGCAATCTGAGGTGCAAAGAGGAAGTAAGTACATGTAGAAGGGAAATGCTATCACCTCATGTGTGCAGCACTCCTCTGCAGGATGGCCTCCGTGTGCTTATTCTGGTCAGCAGAGAGACTTGTCTTCCAGTACACGCGGCAGGCTGAGAAGTCTGAAGCCAGAGAGACCTGAGACCCATGCCCCAACCACAAGTTACTTAGTTCACAGGGGTTTTCACAAAGACAACATCCTGGAAGTGGAAACTACAGCTTCCTTTACAGTAGCTCTTATCCCTAAACCTATGAAACCCTGAAACCCTGAAACCCACTGTTCCCATGGCATCCTGACAAGAGTCCACCACCTGCTGCTGCAGAACACCAACAGCCAGGGAAGCAGGGCCACAGAAACAAAACTCATCTTCCCATCTTCTCCAGGTCCTGACACCACTTGGATAACCTCTATCCAAACCCACTGCACTTGCTTAACATCCATTTCTTGAAATGCTCATGGAAAACACCTAACAGCTGCTTATTGTCCTTTGGCTCAATTCCCTCTGAGAGGGCTAGAGGACCCTTTTTGATTTTCTGTTTTGTTTTGAACCCAGGACTTTCTACTAACATACATTCCAGGGCCTTTTCAATTTGAGATTCAAGATAGGGTCTTGCTAAGTTGCCCCGGCTGGGCTCAAACTTGTGATCCTCCTGCCTCAGACTCCTGTCAAAATAATGACAGGTGTGTCCAGAACTCAGAGCATCCTTGGACCATTTACTCACAATGGCTGGGTAACTGACAATAAGCCAGAGGCTATTTGGTCATCAGGCTGCAAGAAAACTAGCTGCCTTTGGACTGTAGCACAGGTAACCTCTGTCCCAAAGATTTAAACAACCAGACTCAGTTCTACCTCTGCTGCCCCAAACCAAGATCAATGGAGTGAGGAAGTCAGGTAAGACTGACATCCTCACACCATCTCTACACCTCTGGCCCCACATTCTACCTTGGAGAGCTCCACATTCAGGTCATACACCTCCTGGCTCACTTCAGGTGTGGACATCAAATCTATCAGGGCTTTGTAGAGGAGGCCACTCAGGGCCCTCAAGCGCACATGGTCTTCCTTCCTGGTCTTCTTTGAGGTAGCCTTCAGGAGGGATTCCAACTTGGATGGCTTGTAAGTCTCCATTAAGAGAAAGAGCACACATGAAACAAGGGTAGCATTAATAATCAGCACTAACTTACACTCCACTGACTTAGCACTGGTGAGGGCTCGAATGAAAACTAGATAGATAACCTCACTTCGGAGCTGTGAAGTCTGTCTCACAGAACTGGACCCTTCTAGTTTTACCCACCAGTCCTCCAAGATTAGAAGTACTGCCAGTTTAACTTTTTGGTTTTCTTCCAAAAATTCATTTTTTAGATATAATTCATAGACCATAAAATTGACCCTGTTAAAATGTGTGGTTCAGTAATTTTAGTATACACAATGTTTATTTTTTTCTAACTGGAACCACTTATCATATAAACTTCTACAGTACATACACACACTAAAAACTGAACAGATGTTAAAGTATTAGACTTTGACAATAGGACATTCTAGAAAACTTCAGAGTTGGTAAATTTTCCTCATAAAAGGCCAAAATCCACAGTTCCAGTGGCATCCACTCCCACCCACCCACACAATCCTCTCCAGAACACAACTGGAGAGTTAGGCAAAAGCTTGGCTAACCTTTTCTTCCCCCCTAGTACCAGGAATCAAACTCATGACCTTGCACTTGCCAGGCAGGTGTAGCACCACTGAGCTACATCCCCAGACCTAGCTTTGCCAACTTTTAACCTTGCTCCCATCATGACTATAAAAGCCACTGCTACCGCTCAATCCTTACCAAGTGAGACTCCAGGGAAGGACCTTCATACCAAAACTTCTTTCTATGGGGAGAAAACAAAAATTATGTTGGACCATATGGCAAATTAAAGAAGAAAGTGCTACATAAACTACTTTAAGAGGTTATGACAGCACAGTTATATGGAGGTAACCTTGGACAGAGAAGGCATATTACTTGAGATCTAAGAAATGGGCAATTCAGCAAGAATGTCTAAAAAAGTAAAAAGGGGGCCAGGGATGTATTTCAATGTGAAATCCCTGGGTGAATCCCCAATATCAAAAACAAAACAAAACTCTATCTCCTCAGTGGCACATAAGCACAATGCCTAGCTGACCAAGTGGTTTCCCATGGAGGTATATAAATTATACCTCCTAATACACAGCCATACACGTACGCAGTCACTGAACAATTAGGTAGTCGACAGGAGGAGCCATACTTCTTATTGGTGGGGAGGGAATTACAGGCAAGCAATGCAAAGAGGCTAAATGATCCATGTGGTGGGACAGTAGAGTTGGAAACAGATGGTTACATATAAAAATGTTTATTACAGGTGAGCATATATAAAGAGTGCTCAAAGATTCTATTTTTTGTTTTTTCAGCTGAGAGGCCCCAACAAACACCTCAGTAAGAGTTAAGCACATCTGGCACCCAAACCATGGTTTCACAACACCACTTTCCAATAACCAGGCTCCCAGGAGAAATGGCTGATTGTAAGGCTGAGCCAAAAGTATATAAGGTGATTATCAACCATTTTACAGCGCCAAAAGATAAAGAAATGCTAAATACTTGCAGACACAGCAAACCCCCGCAAGATGAGGTATGTCACAGGGACAGAAGAGCTGAGAGGGTTCCTAGTGGCCTAAAATGAGCAAGATAAAGTAATACTGGATTATAATCCACGAGTCCACATCGTGAATTAACGAGAAGAGATTTATCTCCACACAAAAGTCTAAATTAATTCATGAATATAACTCTCTACTCTTTAGCAATGGCTACACAGACTTCCTCCCAAACAGCAAAGTACAGAAGGGTGAAAGAGGAGTTGGGCAGGGTAGTGTATGCCTGCAATCCCAGCACTCTGGTGGCTGAGGTCTCACTAAGTCACTAAGTTGCTCAAGCTGCACTTGAACTTGCAGTCCTCCTGCCTCATCCTCCCAGAGTGCTGGGATTACAGGTATGCACCATCACTCCTGGCTCAGTATCAGTTCATTAACAGATATGCAATGCTAACTTAAGGTATTAAATAGAAGTGAACCAGACGCCCTTAAAAGGGAACTTGGAGTATCTTTACAACGTCTGTAAACCTAAAAAATATTTTTTAAAGTTTATGAAAAAATCCACCATACGTAGAATTTAAAGTGGTGTAAAAAATCAAAGTGCGTATGTTTTATCATTACAAAAACTGACGACAAACTTTATTCATCGAATTAAAACCACATAGAAAGTCAGTATTAATTCGGAAGGGAAATTCTTATAAATATTTCTTCTTTCCCTCTTTGAAGAAATTACTATCCTTATAAAAAAGGCTTCTAGTGACTACAACCAAAATAAATGGACATACAGTAACACTTTGCGCTTTTTTTTAAACCCTACACACGTTCCTGATGTAATATAAGGTTTTAGGAGACTTAAATGCATAAAAGAACAGAAGGAGGGGTGTGAAGACACGGCAACTCAAGCTGAAGGGTAGATGGTGCTAAGTCGCAGGGACACGGGTCCCCAGTGGACCTGCCCGTGCCCCGCAGATATGGCGCTCGCCTACCTGCTTTTGGAGGCAAACTTCTTGAGCAAGTTTTTGTTGCCATAGGAGGCCGCGGAGCCCCGCAGACCCCGTGCTGGGCAGAGAAGCCGCACACTATGGCTGCCACCCCACAGCGCGCGCAATCCGGCGCAGGGGGACCACAGTTCGCGCGCCACAGCCCACATGCCTCGGAGATAGCTGGAACACAGGCAGGCGCGGGGTACGACGGGATGCGTGGGCGGAGCGAAGAAGGCTTTTGGGCGGGGTTATGACAGGCGGGTGGTAGGAGAGACAACGGAGCGGGCGGGCGGAGCGGACACTTGGGCGGGGCGCGGGCCGTAAATGGAGCAGTGGTTGGAGGAGGCGAGTGTGGACGGAACGAGGGCGGTCAGACCTGGGGCCGGATTCTCCGAGGCGGAGAGGCTGGCTCTGGCCCGGGCTTCAAACCTGAAAACTAGCCGACTCCTTTGGCCATGCAAAGCAAGGAACACAGCTTCAAAGCACAAATGATAGACAATGATAAGGACTGCGCATTTTAGAAAAGCAGGAATAAAGAGTTGCGGAGGGTTTCAACCACGTGTGAATACCTCTGTCTATCCTGATGTAAACATTGCCCGGTGTGTACATACATTTTGAAGCATTACACGTTGTCCCCTAACACTTGTACTTCCCGTGTGTTTAGGTATCAGGTTGAAAATTAATTTTAAAGCAGTTTTAGAAAAGTGGGGAATCAACAGGACTGTGTGCTGCACAAAAGCATTGCTTTAAGGCACGGTGGGCCACCTTCCTAGGTGGGTGGATGCAGGGGGTTACCTGCTGGAGAGAGAACCTTACATCTGCCAGGCTGCGAATGACGGGTTGTTCTCCCTATTTGGGGGAGGAGGGGGTACCGAGGATCGAACTCAGGACCTTGGGCTTTTGAGGCAGGCACGGTGCCACTGAGCTAAATTCCCAGCCTAGTTCTTCCTATTCTTACTGCCAGTCTCTTTGCTCCTGCCATGATTTTCTTTTCCCTGTGATACTCCAAAGGAGTTATACTCATCCCAAATCCATACTTGTCACAATTCTCAACAATTCTTGTCAGGCATGGTGATGCACACACACCCGTAATCCTAGCACTCTGAAAGGCTGAGGCAGGAGGATCACAAATTCGAACCCAGCCTGGGCAATTTAGACTTAGTGAGATCTCGTCTCAAAATACAAACTGAAGGGCTGAGGATTTAGCTCAGTGGTGCCGTTGCCTGCCTCCAAAGCGCATGGTCCAGAGATCGATCCCTGGTACCCAAAAAAACCCACAAAAAAAACAAAGTAAAAAGGATTAAAGATGTAGCTCAGTGTGAAGGGCCCCTAGGTTCAATCCCCAATACCAAGAAAAAAAAAATCCCTGGAGAGCAGAACTTCACGCTGTTTCCTATGGTAGCCCCAGCCCCTAGAACAAGACTTAGAACAGGGAGGTTCTCAATAATTATTTATTGGATGGTTAAAAGAAATATACAGTGATTCATGTATCAGGGAGAATATCTAATCCAAGAAGAAGCTAACATAGCCCACTAGGAAACCCTCAGATGTAGCCCAGGGTTTTAATCCAAATTCAACTTAAAATCAAACATAGAGTTTTCATTTAAACTCAGCTATTTACTGGCTGAGACTAGTCAAGTAAAAATAGAACCTTTCCTCACAGAACTGTCTTGAGAATGAAGTGAGATAACTTCAATAAAAGTTACTATTACTATTATTAAACCTTTTCCTGCCCAAACAGTATTAAACCCATCTATATGATGGGTATAACATATGTAAAGTATACAAAAATTTTAAAAATTTCTCATTTAATCTGCCATGTTTTCATCCCAATTCTCAGTCCAAATAAATCATTCAAGTAGCACTTCATTAGGAAAGGGAAAGCCGTTGAGAGAAGCCAGGATGCTTTCAACCAATTTTCCATTTTGGCTTGGTGAGTTGCACTTCCAGTGTGAGGTGTCAGAGTGATGTTCAAATTCAACAAAGGATGATTTCTGAAACACAGATTGAGAGAAACTAGTCTCTTTTACTTCATTCTTTGGTTTCACCTTCCCTGGAATATATCCCCACCCTGATGTAGGGAGGCCTCAGTGCCCACTCACCATTACACCCATGTACATGTAACTACTATTCCCCTAACCCTAATTTAGAAGAGCCAGCATTTTGGGTTACAAAACATACCCTAACTGGATACATGCCATCAGCATACAGCGGCACCACATAATGGTGGATCAGATACACTGGCCCACAAGACAGCAAAGGGCTTTAGGGGAGACGGGTACTGGTACAACCCCACAGAACAAGCTGAATTTGCTTTAAATGAGGAATGGCAGGCAGAAGAAAAGGATCTACTAACTAGAATTAGCAGATTAGAGGGAGTTTTCTTCTAGGAGAAAGGCAAGGGATAGAAGTCAGCCTGGAGGGCCAGGGATTTAGCTCAGTGGTTCTGTCGCCTGCCTCGAAAGCGCAAGGTCCCAAGTTTGATTCCCAGTACCAAAAAAGAAAAAAAAGAAGTCAGCCTGGAAAGGCAATGGGGCATGGTGAAGGGGGTCAGGCATACTCAAACCTAATGCTTAGACCCCAGCATCAGAAAGGGGATGTAAATTCACCCACAGGGTCTCTCAACAATTTTGATACACATAAAAGCTGAAGTTGGTATGGAGCAATTGGCCCCTATCTACCCGAGCTACCTGGGATCAAGAGGTACATTTTAGGGGCCGGGGATTTAGCTCAGTGGTTTCGCCGCCTGCTGCGCAAGCACAAGGACCTGAGTTCAATCCCTGGTACAAAAAAAAAAAAAAAAAGGTACATTTTAGGAGTCATACAGACTCCTAAATCTCTGGAAATTCTCTGGAGGCACTTGTAATTTATATTGGTATGCTGACTGCCATCACTCCCAGAATTGACTGAAATAAGACCCAGCCTGAAGTACTGTCAGTGGGGTAGAAACTATTCAGAGTAGCACCCATAGCCTCAGAGGAGCAGGTGGGCCTGCCTCCTAGCAGCATACTTTGGAAACCAGTCTCTCTCAGTACAACCTTTTGTAAACCAAAGATTTACGCAGTGTCACTAACTAACCCTGACATTCCTACTTTTATTTTTTCATATTAGAGCACACAATGGTAAGCAGCAATGAAATTTCTCCCCAAAACTCAGGATGAAAATTCAAACACGTGTGACAGAGATCATATGAAGACTAGAAATTAATATGAACATCAAATGATTAAATTAGTTATAAATAACTGCCAAGTTTCTTTGCTGCAGAAATGAATTCACGTGCGATTTGGGGAGCATGACACTTTTAAGATAAACCAAACTTTTGGACATAACCTGGTATTTGTCCATGAGTTTTCTTGGGGGGTTGAAATAGGGGTCTCTCTATGTAGTTCAGGCTGGCCTTGAACTCTCGGCAATCTTCCTGTCTCAACCTCCCAACTGCTGGGATCACAGGCATGTATCACCCATGCCCAGCAATGAAACTAATATTTTATGAAAATGTTTATTTCAGCAGAACAGACCATAGACATCATGTGACTTTGCAGGTTTTGAAATAAATTTACAACTATTTAAAATGTTTATGTCTGATTTACATTGAAATTACTTTTTTAGTTTTAGATCAGTTGTTTTCAAACTTTTTAGTCTCAAACCTGTTTACACTCTCAGACTTGTCCAGGGAGGTGTTGACCCAGAGGCCAAACTGTCTCCTGCACACAACAGGATGGGCCATCAGAGGCCATGGACTACCAGAGTCCACGTCCCATGGTTCCATGATTCTGAGAGGCTGCAAGGTCAGCAGTTTCTGTGGCCCCTTCATCCAGAAAGACATATAGATTCCATCAGGTCCTGTTACTTGGACAGGGACTCTAGGTGTGTCACATCTAGTCCTGCAGCCTTAATGACACCAGTCTGCAAAGCTTCTGTCAGAGCATCTTGATCAGTTAGCAGACCTAAAACAGTGAGACAACTATTGTGTAATCACCACAAGCTGACCACATACATGGAAGACGTATGAGTCATTTTAGTTTAGCTACACTTTCAAACAGGTAATTTTGTTCCAATGACAGTATTGTTGATAGCACAAGGCTTTACATCCATGTCCTCTGCCCTCCATCCCTGCAGAGGCACACTGCCTAGATGCTTGCCCTTAGCACCCTACCCTCACAAGTACCAACATGCCTGCATCAAAAGGACATTGTCTCTCTTCTTTCCAGGCACCATATCAAACCCACCATAATATCTAATAATGGCAATTTCTGAAAGTGACTGCTCATGAACTTCATCTCCATAAACTTTAATTACCCCTAGAGGATCAAATTATGACACCACCCTCACCCTGAATGGCCAAACTTAGATCCAAAACCCTCCATCATATACATTTCTCATCCTTTTCGTTACTAATTTGAGGTTCAAAGTAATGTAAAGATAAAAATTTAAAATATTTCTAAATACAATCTAAAATTTCTTAATTCACCTGCCAAGTGGATTTTTCAGACCATTGCAGCCACTCAGGAATAATGGGGCACAAGAAATGCCAGGGCAGAGTTGGGGGCTCTTTTGACATTGTTTCCTAGCCACGCTGCCTTCAAGTAAACTGTACCTCTGCCAATGTTGACAAGGATGGTACTCAGCTTCATCAGCCCTAGCTCCCATCTCTGGATCAGCCTCTGAATCTGCTGTATCAGGCTTAGGGCCAGCATCGTAAACTCTGACCGCTGCAGCAGGTCATCCAGCCTCTCACGGAAAGTGGTCCCAACAGCTTCTTCCTTCTCCAGCTTCCTATGCAGTAAACTGCATTCTCATCAGAAACTTACCTGGTTGCCCAGAGGGAGGATGTCCCCTCCATAGATGAGTCTCTTGGGAAACCAGGGTTGTTCCCACCGGATCAGACACTGGTGGGAATGGGCTGGATCCAGGAGGCCCAGAGTCCAGGCAGTACCATCCACCCCTGGGAATCCTTGAAAATGCTGGATCATTTGTGGACACGTTGCCTGCCCTAGTATCTGCAGGATCACCAGACTAGAGACCCTGAGGGAAAAGCTTCCTCTCCTTGGCCTTCGATCCAGTGTCTGTGCCAGCCCCCAGCACCTGTGGAACCCAGACCCGCTTCTGGGAAGGTCAAAGGCTGGCAGACTATCAGACTGCAGGGCAAGAAAGAGGAGGGGAGGCGTGGGAAGAGGAGGAAAAGCCTTAGAGTGCTTTTGGTTGCACAGAAGCAAGGACAATGCAG